AAATTGAATGGTTATATACCCGTGAGGAACCGGATTGTTTTATATACCTATACCATTAATTAAATATACGTTACTAAAGTTCATCCTTGGAGATTGCGCACGATATAATTGTCAGTAAAACATGTCGATTGGGGTAAAAATCGAATTAAGATTACGTAAAACAGATGAAATTATTTCTCATCAATTGTCAAGACTTTGTATTTAATAGCAGAACGTGTGCTGTGAGGTATTGCACAAGTTCCTCGTTGGTTGTCACCAAAAAAACATGTATGCTAACGTCGTCTCGTTTAACAGTTCTGATTTTTTGAGGTATAAATAAATATAATAACACGCGTATGTACGCAGATAAGCGGTTAAGTGTTATTCAATGTGTGATACGACGTATAAATGGTAAACTTAGTAATTATTATATTTTATTCTTTCGTATCATTTTCACTCATAAGTAAATATTTAAAAACACGTCATTTGATTACAAATTATTGTACGTTTAATGCTTTAAATATAATAATTCTATTTAGCAAAAAAAAAAAAAAAAACAAACGATCAGATTTTTGTTCTTAAATACGCTTAATAATTGGTATGTGATACACTTATTTATAATAATTAAGTACTTAATATATATAGTTGTTTTGTCAGAAATATATAAATATATAAATAAATATGTTTTGTAAAATACATATTGTTTATGTTTCGGCATTCTAACGTAAAAAAAAAAGAAAAAGACATGCTACGAAGCCAATTAAAAACTGAAATAACTCGAAAAAACTTTATTTTTCAAAAAACCAAAAACATATTTTTAATCTTCAGAAACATTTCGAGACTTGACGAACAAATTTGAAAAACTTTTTCAACAAATCAGTTTAGATTTAATTTTATTACACGTTAAATATACTCATATGTTCACGTGTTCATAATCTGTTGAGTTTGTTGCAGTTCGTCATGCCACCGAATAATGTATTTGATGTATTACAATATTTATAACCGCGAATAAGTTAATTACATGTATACAAGTTTAATGTATTTTTATACATAGATTGATCTACGATCGCTTCAAATAATATCGTTCGGTGTACAAAATGTACATGCATTACGTGATTATCTGACACACTTTGAAATAATTTCAAACCCACCTATATTATTATATTACTACACTATTATATATTTTATGTATTTCGAACTAAACAATTGTATTCACGTCCATTAAATATTGTGTACAATGCTTGACGTTGTAACATAAATTTTAATAAAATATTTCTCGATATTTCTGTTTATCCAAGTAGAAATATAATAAATAAAACATGTACCCGCACCGAGATATGAAATACTCATCAAATTACGTATCGGAACAGTTCGTCTTCAATGAATTCGTATGTGTTGTATAAAAGGAAAAACGAAATTCCTCCAACTGTATTTCGATATATTTATATTTCGTAGTGTATCAAAGTGTATATATCAAAGTGAAAATTGGCCAAATAATGTACAGCGGAAACCTTAGGTTAGCGTATGTATTTTTTTTTCTTTATCATATTGTATATTTAAATTTACTTTAATATAGTGTAATGACTACAATATTTCTTTCGACTATATAAATTAAAATAACATCGAAAAATATTAGGTACATAATAAATTACATTAAGATAATTATTAAAAAAAAAAAAAAAAATCAAACAATGTACAAACAAATATATAAAAGATAAATATTTAGTACATGTAGTGTAATGTTCAATATATGCAGATATAAATTAAATACATTTAAATAAAAGGAAACATTTCTTTACATTTATGCTTAATTTTATAGCTATCAATATAATATATACTTAAAATTTATTTTTACTGTATAAAATAATAGATATAAATATCAGCTTTTGATAAATTAAAAAAAAAATGCATTTCCTTTAGAACTTGGATTTCATTTCGTTTCGATTATTTAAGTAATTAAATATATTTTATATTTACAAATGTACTTATATACGTATTAGTATCCTATTACATAACGTAATATTGTTATACATAATATTTTTACTAATATTGTTACTTATTGAATATAAATGTTTTAATAACTATCTAACTTAGAATTATAGATAATGAAATAATTAAAATTAAAGATAAATTATTGACAATATATATTAAATAAAATCAAATACATGGCTGCGTTCATAAGAATATTAGACGGGAGTATAAAATATAATTTGAATTTGAGAAAACAGAGTAAAATGGTAAAGGGTTTCTAGTATTACGGCTATTTATTTTAAAATTAATTAAAGACAATAAATTTGTACAGTCAATAACGTCAGTTAATAAATCATGTAAACATTTTGATAGTGGGAGTAAACAAAGGTAATTTAATGAGGTAAGATCAAAGAAATTTAAAACGACATGCACATAAATCGTTAAACAATTATTTTGAACTGATTCTTGCATTTTATTTTGTTCAAGTGTTTGACTAGACCAAAAGGCGGTATTCTAGGTTAAAATGAGCTAATGAGAAATAAAGTAATTTTAGAGAAATAGAATCTGAAAAAGAGCCGTAAACACACTTCTGAAACCTAAATTTCACATAACTTTATTTTTTATCATTTTTGAGCGAAAATTAAATTTAGTGTCCAAAATTATTCCCATGTATTTAAAATCGGAGACGAGTTTTATTTTGAAGTCAGATATATATCGAAAATTAATTGGATTTTTTATTATATAGAAGTGAATAAACTTAAACTTACTCATATTTAAAAATAAATTGTTTTAATTACATCACATTACTAGATTATCGATATCAAATTGTAAATTAATTGCGTCTTATTTCGTTTTTATTATCATTATTAATTTAGCGTCATCAGCGAACAGATGAATTTCAGAGTTCATAATAGCATTAGGAAAGTCGTTTATAAATATATATTAAAAAGTAAAATGGACAGGTGATCTCCTCGGGAAACACCAGAAAGGACGTGGAACTGGACAGATTGGCAATTAAGATGTTTAACAATTTTACGATTAGCGAGAAATTATTGGAAGCAAAGAAGTAAAGAGTCAGAGAAACCGAAAAATTGTAATTTGTTCACCAGGATTAGGTGATTTACTCGGTCAAAAACCTTAGAATAATCAGTATAAACAATGTTTTTTTTTTGGGCATTTATTTCGAAGGACTGATTGATTGAATTTTTAGAAACCGACAGATTATTACACATCGATCGATTCGGAACATAGCCCTATTATTTACTTGTAAGAAAGGAGGAGCAAAGTTTTGATATTTCAATGAAATTAATTAAGAAAAAAAGCTTATGAATGATAGAAATCTTAGAAATAGGGTGATAGAAATTAAAGAAGAGTCTCCAAAAATGGGAGAAATAAATTATGTTTTCCAGACTGCAGGAAAGATATCTTCATTGAGAGTATTGTAAATATTAGTTATAATTGGCGTAAGGATAAATTTACAATTATATGAAAAAGAAACAGATATTTCATCAGGACTAGTGCTGGAATAGAGGTTTAAGGAGGATATCATATGTAAGACATGGAGTTTGGTTAGGATAAGGTAATTGAGATTTAATTTAAAATTTAAGCGTTCGTAATTGTTATTATTATGCTTAAGGACTTATAGCTCTATAAAATACACAAATATGCTTCTAAAATTAATAAAATATGCATTATAATATGCATTTATATGCATTAAAAAAGAAAAAAGGACAAAATAAAACGTGTCTATCGCAGGGGCGTATTTTAGGGAGAGGAGAGGTCGATCGCTCTCCCTGAATCCATATTTAATGAATCAATTATATGTAAAATACACATTTCAAATTTTTTTGATGTGGATCATTTTATAATAAAATCACATTATACGTAACTATGAATACTGAATTGGGATTTTTGTGGGTCCGTACTTAATGAAAAATCAAATAAAACACAAGTGTAACTTTCAAAATACAGACAGGTGTTAAAAAAAACTATACAAATGTCGATTCATAGGGGATCTGGCATTAGATTAAAAAAAAAAAAAAACTACAAATATTATGGATTCATCTGTTTAAATACTACCAAATATTATACTTGTACATTTTGACCCTAAATTAAAGAAAGAATTTAAGCCCCCCCCCCTACACACACACACACTAAATGTAAGTATAAATACGCTTCGGGTCCATCGGATATAAATGTATCTTTAAACTCCGAAACAAAACTTTGTAGTCGGCTACGAGTAGACTCCTACAACGTTTTATGTATGATTCGATGTTGTATAGTTGCGAAACGCAAAAACAACGGCGGATAATAATCGACTGAACTGAACAAAAACAAATAATTTATTATTCTATATCGAATATTATCTTTATGAACATCTGGTTGATATCCAGCGGGTTATACGGTCGGTACGAGTTTATAGTATTATTTATACTTAAACAAAAATTATAACGAGATATGAGAGGTAGTTTGCATGTAACATATTACTGGAAGTATTAAGTCCTCTTAGTATATTTTTTTTCTCGATCGGTTGAAATATGTATTTATGGTTTTTAATTTTAAATTTGAAAAATTTGTCAAAATATGCAAAATAAGCATAACAATTTTAAAATATTCACTCTCCTGCAAAATCTATCAAATATGCAAAAATATGCACATTAAAATTTTAGATTTGATATCATGGCACTAAGAAACAAATTTATTTTGCACTCTGCTATATTTAACAATAATTAAAAAAAAGTATGCAAATGCTATAAGTTCCTAAGCCTAGTTATTATTTATAGAATAATAATTATACTGTTGATTACGATACGCGTTAGAAAAGTATCTTATTATAATAGATTAAATTTGAACATATTTTAGTAAAATTTCTATACATTTACTTTATCGAAAGAGTATAAAAGACCGAACCGACGGTGCATGCAAAGGTTTGTTTTTCGATGTTTTGGAACGAAAATGATAATAACGGTTTCGTAAACCGAACAGAGTTACGCGCGAGCACTGGACCGAATACCGAAATCAAATACGAACGGGGGGTTACGTGATTTCAGTTGTTGGATACACGAATCGCTGTACTCCTGGATACTGTCGGGACCGGTGTGCGTGTCGATGTTGGCCAACCTGGTGTTCCTGATCAACATTGTCAGACTGCTGTTGGTCAAACTGCATGCCAGACAGATCACCATGGCCAGTCCGAAACACGTGGCGACCAGAGAACGGGCGCAGTCATTCAGCCTCCGAAGGTTTGTATAGCGCATGGACCGTCCCGACGGACCGGGCCGGGTTACCGGGTACCTGGTCAGCCGTGGTACTGGTGACCTCGTTGACGGTCACGCGTGTTACAAATACGTTGTTCTCTTGTCCGGCAGCTTCAAAAGGAACAACAGCAGCGTGGACAGCTACGACAAGGCGCCCGCGTCATCCAGCAGGACTGGCAAGGCGGTCCGGGCCACGCTCATCCTGATCCCTCTCCTCGGACTCCAGTACATCGTCACGCCCTTTCGACCGGAGCCCGGCACGCCGTGGGAGCCCGTTTACCAGGTCACTTCAGCGGTGGTCGCCTCATGCCAGGGCCTGTGCGTGGCGCTACTGTTTTGTTTCTGCAACGGAGAGGTATGCCCGCAACCGAACACGGTATTACGATAACGATTATAATAATAATAATTATTTTGGCGCACAGGTGCTGTCAGAGATTAAGAAACGGTGGAAACACTGCAAGATCAATAAGAACCGGTCGTGGAACCCGTGCTTGAAAGTCACGTCCGTTTCGCCGCAACACCACCCCAGGCTGCTGGTGACCGAAGATCAACAGACTCAGGTACGTTGCATCCTATCTCACCCCTCTAATCTCTAATAATTACTCTCGTTACGGTTTTCAGAGGACGGGAAGCATACAAGTGTTGCCGCGAAAGGATTCGGCCGAGTGCTTACAAAACGTTCAACTCTAGACGTGCAAATGCGCGTTTTCACACGGTTATTCTTTTTCTCTATTCCTATTTCGTTTTTTTTTCGTTTCCAATATTATTATTATTATTCTATACAACATAATGATACAAATATATATATATATATATTTATATATTTATTTTATCGCCTCGTTCCATCGCCGCCGTTCAGACAACGGCGTCCTTGACCTGCGACTGAGCCGGCTGCGTGGTGCCCGTCACGTTGGTGTGCGTGGTGCCCCTGCGCTTGATCCTCCGAATGTACTTGTGGAACGCCCCGTGCACGTCCACGTTGGCGAAACAGAACAGCACGGACACGCACAGACCCTGCGACAAACACCGAGACGCGAGTCACATTAGTTACGTATGACGTCGACCGAACGGTATCGCTGGAAATCATCGACTCACTTGGGTCGACACCAGTATCGCCGAGAGTATCTGATAGACCGCTTCCACGGTCGTCTTGTGCGTGGGCCGGTACGGGATGAGTATGTAGTGGATGCCGAATAAAGGGACCAGGATCAGCGCGGCCCTGACAGCTTTCCGGACGCCGATGGGCGCGGGGTTGGCCGAGTTCCGGTGCAGTTTGGTGAGCAGCACTCGCATGACGTTCATCAGGAATAACAGGCTGGTCAGTATGGACGCGAACACCGGCACCGCTAGCACCCACTGGCTGTGGCTCTCGTGCATCCAACACCTGCAAAACACGCCGTCGGTTTAATATATGAACAATCATTATTGCTATTTGTATATTTATATATTTGTATATTTTTTTTTTCCTCACATGTACTACCATTTCTTACTCACACACACCTCGCATATTGTACCAGAGAAGGTTTCCGATCCGTTCCGTTTATCGGGAATAAGTTTCCGCCCGAGAAATATTATCGATCGACATACATCGTCCCCGTGAGCACTGTGTTGCACCCGATCTGTGCATGATAATTCGTAATAGCCAACGTAATTCGCAAGCGTTTGGTTCCTCATTCTCTTCCCCCCCCCCAACAATAACGTACGTCCATAGGTCCGATGTCCCAGTATATCCCAATATGTCCCAATATATTGTGTAACGCAGGTTGTCCACGTTAAAAGTTTTGTTTACCGTTTTCGTAACGATGACGATAGAAATTTCGCCGCGGTTCAACGTGTTTTTGCAATCATCATTTGTCAGGGAACCCCCCGTGACGGCTTATTATACGAGATATTACGAAATACACCGTCTGAACCAGACATGTTAAGCGCAAGGTATCAAGTGGGCCAAATATATTGAACAGTTTACGCGGGAGGCATATAAATATTTAACGGAAAAATATTAATATATATATATATATATTATTATATACAAATTTATACTTATAAAATCCAGGGCCGTCCCGAAGAGGGATCTTGGGGAAGTATATCGCCCCCCCCCCAACAATAACACCAGTCGGAAGTTGGATTTGTTTCATTATAGCTTAGAAGGACCTAATTTTACTTACGGAAAATAAATATTACATACTCGTATTTCGTAATACAGTTTATACACGAATACAATTTATATAACTACTTATTATAAAATATAAAATATTATTATAAATATATAATTAAATTGTCAATATTAAGAACATGCGACACTGATACATATATACACGTTAAAAAGTAAAAATACAACTACATATAGTTAATTATACTACATACATTGAGTAAAAAAATTGTAGTCGGCTTTTTCATACTATTTACCCCATCCCCCTCCATTGATTTTCATCTTCTGGACGGCCCTGATAAAACCATTTTACAGATGGTTAAAACTTGTTCGTTTACAGTTCATCAGAAGATAAAACATGATATATATTGAAATTACCATTTTCTAAGAATCGAAGATTATCCGGATACGACATTAATATTTTATTATTTTTTTTTAACGTTCATTTTTTACTTCGTCGGTTAATATTGGAAGCAACGGGTCGCAAAAGACATGTCTGATTCAAGTAAACCCAAGTGTGTTGATTGATAAACAATATCGTTTGATTGTTTCCCCGAGAGTAAACGGTCAACGATTTTTCGTAAAAAAGAATCTTTCGTGTATTTATTTCGACACAGCTAACGTACCGCCAATCTGTTAATCTATAATCGCGTGTGCTTTACGACGTAATCTTATATCGGATCATTATGTAAAATTATGAAAAATTAGATACTTAAGACGCTAAACCCTTACAGACAGCGCGGTAGCGAAGTGAATAAAGAGAAATAACGTTTTGTCGAACCGTTTTAAAGCATAAAACCTCTTAGTTGGTACATATAAACATTTTATGACGTTTGTAACTATGAGGCAGTTGTACGATGAATTATTTTAATATATATCGTAACCGCACTTTTATTTCGGTTCATGTCAATACATTAATGTTCGATCGATTTTTAAACGTATTCGTGCCATCCAATGTCATAATAATCATATGCGAGTGCATCACAATGATGACTCATGCGAGTTCATGCACTTATATTGACATACAATTTGACGTTTTTTTACGTTATTCATATCGTTTTCGTATAAAGAATAGGAAAACGATTTATTCGAATGTTCTATACACGCTGGGGTGCAGTTCTTAAACGTAAACGAAAAATCCTATGACACATTTACATCAAATCGAATCGCAGCGAATCGATATGGTTTCGATTACGTAACAATACACATTAAATCTGTTAATAATACATTTGTCAAATGTTGCTACAAAGGTTGATCGAGTTCAATTCGAAATATCAACTCCGAGAACACGTATCTTGCTCGTTATTTTATTTGGTAATTGCATATTATTATTTTTTGCACGTCAAACGGCAACATTTTATTCGAAAAATAACGGTTCCGAGTAGAGGCACCCTATTGTTATTTCAATAAATCTACCGCGGATAGATCGCGCGAATGTTATTGTCGATGAGGTTCGATGGCGCAAAGCTCGTGTCGGTCGACGGACGGCAAGACTTATGTTTCTTCGATTCGAATATTCGTTTGAATTTCGATTGCGATTGACTGTTTGCGGATAAGTCGCCGGAGAACAGAACAAGAAGGATCTTCTAGGATTAGACATTTTTTGATTTTCCCAAAATACCAGTGACGACGCACATAATCGATGCGCTCCTGTCTTATTGTTCGCGTGAAATGGATTGCTCTCTCTTTTTCTGTCCACGTACCCTATTTTTCCCGAACTGACCGCGGAATCGAGTAACACGTACCGAAAGGACGTGCGCACAAACGCACGTACACACACCCACATAAGGATAGAATAATCATAGGAAGGATAAGCGTAAACGTAACGCGTTCAGTACGGAATAGTATACACACGGTTGAAAACGAAAAAAGTTCATACGCATTGTTCAATGAGTCTATAATTATCCTGCGTGAAAAATCATTGATCTTTTACCGTAAGTTATTTCTGATGCCGGCTTGTACGGTCAGCCCTACAATTTTGTTTACACGTACATTTAACTGTACAAGTGCTATAGTTGCTCACACACCACATTTACACACGTAGAGAAGCACACTTACACGCGCGCACGCCGAGACATACGTACTAGAGCTCTGCACGGTCCGGTCTTTTTCGGTCTTTGCGTATTGTAATTTTATGTGGTTCGGTCCGGTTCGGTCCCTTCCTCTAAAAAAAAAAAAAAAATGGTCCGGTTTGGTCCGTCTTCAATTCAAATTTGGTTTCGTTCGGTCCGGTCCTGTGATCTTTACTTTATATAATTTTATATATTTATAAGACGTAGTAAAATAAAAAGTAATTTCATAATATTGTATTATTTTAATTTAGATTATAACGTTTTGGGATACAAAAATAGCTCATCGCGTTTTTATAATAATTATTATAGTCTTGTTGTTGATATAATATTCGCCCATTATACAGATCTACAAATATAATGCTGGGACACGAGATAATGAATTTACCTGCATTGTGTTTTCAGTATTTTTTCCAAATGTATACAAATAAGAAAAAAAAAACTAAGCAATTATCACTATCGGTTAATAATCCATAGATATTTATATATACCTATTCTGTCGAAATGATAACGACGAATAATATGAGATAACTATGTTTAAATTTCTAGAAATTCGAATCGCACATCAGTAATAAAACCCCGGAATTTCAATTTTATTTTATCGATCCGGTCCGGTCCTGGTTTTTGTTAAAATGTATCAGTCCGGTTCGGTTTAAAAAAAAACGGACCGTGCAGAGCTCTAATACGTACACACAATAGTGCAAATCGTTGTAAATCATTCCGACCGAAAACGTACTGCTGACGGTAGACGACATGTTCCTTTAGCAAATATTTTTGTAGGCTCGAACTTGTTGACGATGACTATATGATAACAGAGCGCTGTTCGTATATCTGTACGGGACCATGGAGTTCAAACGTCCTCGGCGTTCTCGTCGAGCCAACAACTGTGCGGTTCGAAATCAAAAGCGAAATCGGAACCATAAGGCAAACACTACGTAAGCCGAATACGTATGTGATCGTACCCGCTAGCAAGTGTGTCAGGTCTTTTTTTTTTCTTACTCACGCGGACGTTCGACTGCAGTAAATAATTTATCCCGTTTGGATCGCGTCCGGAAATCCAGTCGGAAAGGTCGGTCGGTGTAAACTTGTTTCATTTCCGCAGCGTTGCAACGACGCGCGCTCGATTTTCCATATCGTTAATTATTTAGTTATGACACGCGTTTCGGCAGAGTAGCCAAGGAGGAACAGCCGTCGGTCGGAGTGCGTTTTTGTCATTATTAATATCATATTTAATTATTTGTGTGTGTATACATTACATTACATTGGGCGCAATGTTTTATCTCGATGCACGTTGTACGATTTTCATTTTATTCGTTCCGGTTGAGAACGAAACGTTTTATTTATACCGTCGACTGCCTGAAATTGGAACACGGTTCGACGAAAAAATAAAAATAAAATACAAATTACAACGCTACATTAATGATATTATACCAATCGTATTACATGATAAATTGTGTTTTTGTGCAACGATTTTATTTTTTATAAACTGATCTCAATCAAATGATACTATTAGTTCGGTCGGGAAAAACCAATCTGCATAATTCGTGGACAATCAAGTATTTAACGTTTGTTTGAAATATTGTACATCTCTTACAAATTATTTTTTCTGACTTGTATTTTTTTTTTCGCTGTTCAACCGTCAGCAGAGGAAGCTCTGCGTGAACTCTTACCTCGTACTAACGATGATTGAGATATGTAATTATAAAAGGCATACAAAAAAAAAATAAAAAATAAAAATAAATAATAATCATCACACTGTATATAATGACCCGACTACTTGTTTTCACCGAAATTAACTTGATGGTAATTCTCTACCCAAGCCACGGAATAGATATTTTTATGCGTCCGCGCATAATAGTGTTATAATACAGTGTATAAAAAAAAATTTTGTACGTTCAACGTTTTCGCGTTCAGGCTATGATTATTCTCCAAACAACATTTTTAACGTTTCTCATAAGAATAATATGCACTACTTAATGTACTGTCTATGAATGTAATCATATTTATAAATACTTACTACTATTATTCAATTATTTGTTCAAACAATGTGCGGTTTGTATACATTAACGTTTTTATTGCCTATGAAAAAAACATTTTTTTTTTTTTTTGTTATAGTCTTAAGCTATTGCAAAGAGTTAATACAATTTTTTTTTAAACTCAGAACATATGTCATCTGTATAACTGTAAGTTTCAATAAAATCTAAGTATATTATGTGAAAACAATGCCTATGAATGTAATGTATTGTTTTTTGTAAAACGGTTTCCGGCGGCCATTTGGAGTACCTGCATAAAATATTATATTCAACACAAGTGAGTGAAAATGGGGAAGTATTGGGATTTTTCACTTTCACTTTAAAATCAATGGTTACGATCCGATTGGGTAACTCTTTGTAGTCATATTACGGAACGAAATGATAATTACTTGTTGAACACGTCAGTTAAAAAAATACTAATACGGCGCGACGTGTAGGCAATAGTGGTACATTACTGTGTCGGTGGACAGTAATATTGTATAGTTTTTCGTCGAACTGTATATTTTACTTAACCATAAATATTACATTAATGATGTCTGTCATTATCTTTTTTTTTTTTTGAGGGTAAATAGCTTTTTTTCTTTTAATACGTACTAATTGCCTCCAATTCTCTGTTTCCTAATGTCATTTATTTAAATGTATATTTAGACTGCTCAATGGGAACTTAAATATCAAAACATAATTATTGTTACTCTTATAATATTCTAAAATAAATTAACTGAATTATTATTTTTTATGATATTGGCATGTTTCATACATAAAGTTATGTCTACAAAAGTACTTTTAAAATGTGTTGTTTTAAAATGTTCGGTTTGAAAAAAAAAAAAGGGTTATATGCTAATTACAATCGTTCCGAAAACCTTATTACGTGCGATTTTTACACATCGGCTACAACAACCGTTTCAAGGTATTGTTAACATAGATATTTAAAGTATGTTAATCACGACGAACTTTCGTTGCCGGTGCAAATGTTTTCGAATTCTTTTATTCGGTTATCATGCGCGAAGTGTTCCCAGGCAAATCCATCGCAATCCCTAACGGCGTTCATCTCCGGCTGATCGACACACATCAAAGTGATCATCGACCTACTGCGATCTTGCGGAACGCGCGTCGTCTCGTACAACTCTGCTCCACGTAACGAATTACGCGATTCATCCGACCGGCCTTTATCGTTATCGTTGGTCGCGAACGAATCGGCCGGATTTCGGGCGAACAATATGAACATTTAGTGACTCGTTTCGATTGAACACGTTAAAAACACTGAGACCAAACTAGACTGAATAAGGGTCTTCGGGGTCCAACTAATAAACGTCGGTCGCAACGACCAAACGTCCGAACGTTTTATTCTCAGACGATATCGTAAGTCGTTGTCTTCGAACGACAAGTTTTTCAACGCTCGAAACCCGTTTCCTGAAACCCGTTATAGCAGTGAAATCTCCTCACGGTGGAACCGCCTCGCGCCAAACGAAAGTCTCTTCGAAAGTCACCACAGAACTGTAAGGATACCTCTGCAGCGGAGCGTCCGTCAACCGGAAACGGGATCATGGTCAGGGAAACAAAAAAACTCTCCGTGTGCACGTCGGAAAATAAAAAAAACGTTGGTCTCAAAATGTTTCTGCCGATCGAAAAGCTGTCGACGAGATAATACCGTGGCACGTTTTTTCCCCCTCGTGATTCTGTATCGCGTTTCGCTTTGGACACCGACATAGAGATCGACAATCTACGCCACGGTGATTTCTATGTTATTATAAATAAGTTCGGTAAGATGCGAACCGGTAGCACACGTGTCGGTCACTTACTGTTCGGTGTCTCGGGAATAGCTCCTCCAAGAGACGTATAGGCCGGTCAGCACGGCCGGCAGTCCCCAGCCGATCGCGTAGAACCATCGCATCGCGTACACGTCGTTGACGAATACCACCACCAGGGCCATGTGCAGGTGCAGCCCCTCGCAGAACATCCACATGTAGTTGGCCACCATGAAGAATTGCAGCAATACGTGCAAACACCTGCAGTATATCTGTGGGAAAACGAGTGCGTGAAAGAAACAGAATATACAACCAATATACAGGCCGGTAGCAAGGGGGGAGAGCTAGAGGAGCCTAAGCCCCGAGCGCGATTCCCGGGAGTGCACGAAAATGAAAAAACTTCAATTTAATAGTTACTCATTACTTATAACTTATAAATATAAGTAATGTTATGTAATCATACATTTACTTATCTAATTTATAAATATTATTATGTTAAACATTCGATTTAAATAAAATTAACAAACGCTTACATAATTATAAGGAAAATTTATTATATAAATTGCGTTTATAAAAAATATTCAGTTTTCTGTGAGTTCTTTTATAAATGAATATACTTAGACCGCATTTTGAAGTTTCGCCCCGAGCGTAATATTTAGTTGCTACGAATAGAGTCAAAGGATTTCTGTTATTTACACTAAACGATTATTACGACTAGAACACTAATGGTGCGCGTTTGGCGTTCGTTTTCCCAATGTTTCTATTACCGAGTCGTACGTTTGGTTCGTACCACACAAAATGAAACGATCGGCTTTTATCTTTTGTTTTTTTTTTATTATTATTTTTTTTTTTTTTAATAGCATTTTTGGTTTTTTTCACTTTTGAATTGATTTAATCGGACCATTTTTAAAAATTCTGTTTTAGCCATACCAATTCAAATGTTTTCGAAGCTTAATCGAGTTTATTTTCAATGTTTGATTCAACGGGTTCAATAAAAATGATTAATTCTTTATTAGTTTTTCATCTTATAACATTTAATAATCTTATAACGTACACAAACTGATGATCGTGGCCATCAATGTTTTTTTCATACTAATCGTTATGTATATATTAAATAAGAAGATTAAAACAAAATTCATATGACTATTTCAGTTTTAGAAATGTAATGGATTTACCACGATAAGTGTTTTTATTTTTCTTCTACATGATTTCGACTTGAAGGAATGCTCCAATATTTCATGGGCAGTTTTGTCTATAAAAGTATTGTGTTGTTTTTCTATGAGTAGAAATCGTAGTGGCTCAAAACATTTACCGTATACTTACATTTAAGCCTGAACAAGTTAATGATATTAATTCAGTTAACTATTGTTTTGGGTTCAGTTAACGAACATGAGAATCACGTAATTTAAGCTTAACATTGAGTTAACAATTATCGTTAGCTACACTTGGTTTCAACCGATACCTAAGAGAAGTTAATTAGAAAAAAAATTGTTTTCGTTGAGCGTCGAAGTATATGTGATAACTACTCACATTTCACAAAATAACTTAATACAAATGAACATAATAAAATAAATGAAAACGCATAATAAAATCTTATTTATGAATATTTTATAAATCGCAATCCTGCATTGCAGGATAGGTACAACTAGTTATGAGTATTAGGGGTCATTATAAATGCCGGGACAATTCAAAAAAGAACTGCTGTTTCTGTAACAACAAACGTTTTACGGACTTTCGATTGTTATCTTCACGTGTTTATCTTGATTTTATTTGACAAAACCTCTTTAATATCAAATATTTGACAATAAAATCGCTGTTGAAATGGACTTATGGATCTGTCTATGTTACTAGATTTCCATCAAACTATCCAGACCACAATATATTTATTATTAGATTGATTCGATTGTAAATTTTCTACTTCGATTAATATTTTATTTCATCAAACGGGATTCAGGATTTAAATATTTAGGCACGCAATTCGTAAAGTATTAATAGAAATAAACCGAATAACTAAAGATTTTTGTACAAAAATAATAATTTCTACCTGTAATGATTGCGTGTCTAATTATCAGTTGTTTTCTGACATAGACTCTTATACACGTCTGAAGATAACAAAAAAAAAAAAAAAAATCGTCGATATCAATCGATTCTGTTTATTATTTGCGTCGACCTAGAGCTAACGACCAAGTAGAAATATTCAATAAACCTATTGCGCGATGGTTAAAATAACTGAATTTATGAATATATATTGAGTGTTCCAAAAATAATAAAATTAAATAAACGGCCGCAATCGAGTAGCCGTTACAGGTCGAAGCAAACCGTATAGCAAACACGTATTTACCTTCGCTTACTGCTGCCATACAGGAGCATAATTTTAGTTTTGAATAATAGGTGTGGAGGTTATACGAAGATGGAATGGTGGTGGTATGAAAGGATTATAGGAGATTCTAGGGACATGAAGGGTATGCGTGCCGAGCGATTTTATGATTATCCGATCCCCATAAAATAATTTATTACATTAAAATATCAGAAAAAATCAATGTTCTGGCAGAAACTCGTAGAAACATATGTTTGAATAGTTATAAATATGTAAATGTTCTTGTTTAGAAACCAAACTCTCGAGATTTCAACTCTTACATTATGTGTTATTCAATGAATAATTTGTTACAACGCACGTTAATTTATCGCACAGATAGTTGATCCAATGCAATAGTCATCCACTATTAACAACAGTGTGGTCTCCATGGATTAGGTTGTCGCAACATTATTCATTAGCTCAGTGCTACAATATCCAATTGTTTTTTAATGGTGGAATACTGTTTTCTGGGGTGAAAACGTTTTTCTAGTTTTGAAAATTCGGAACATTGAAAAAAGCATATGCTAATTTTAAATTCACCTAGAAGTAAATTAATTAAGTAAATTATTTTTATTAAGTTCACTTTTAATTTATTGGTTCGCTAATACCCAGGATTGCTTATATTATTGTTTTATAGACATTTCATATTTTTTTGAAAAATTGTAATAACAGTGTTGTTAATTATTAGCCTTTCGAATTTTCGATAAGTAGTTCAATTGACCCTTTCAATAAATTCGGTTCTGTTGCTGAATTAAATATGATCAACCATTTTAGAAACAAAAACTGATCCATCTAACTTCTTTCACAACAAAATTTTTTTTTGTTTAATTTTAATTTCTTTATGTGCATTGGTATATTGGTTTCCAGTTTAAAATAATTCTATGGCAATTTTTTTTATTGTATCAAATCCTTTATTTATTTTTGGAGTTAGGGAGTACATTAAGATACTTTTTATAAAATTTTGGTATTTTATTTAGTATTTTAGTTATTTTTGATACAGCTGTAATGATTTTATTCAACTATAATAATAATGAATAATTTATATACATTGCCTGCTGACGAAAATTGTCATTAACTTTACATCAATACGGATTTGATACACCAGTTGAACGGTTTGTATTTTGATTTATCGCAATAAAGTAATTAAAATTAAAAATCACTAAACGGTTAATACTTGTAAAATAATATAAAAATAAACAAATAGTTTATATATTGATTTATCGTATCCTATGAAATTCGCTCTCGAAAATGTCAGTTAGGTTGCGTATTAATGGTGCTGACGGAGCTGCAGCTCTCGACCTTTATGGCGATTCTGGATCATCGTATTTATCATTAATTATCTCAATGATATCCGTTACTAAGATGCGAACAACATACGTAAACTCCTACGAGTTAAGTAGTTTATTAAAATATTTATTTCCGTTATTTTTATCATCATTGAATATTTTCGGAATTAAAAACAATGAGTTCTACTAGTGATGCGCAAGTGTAGCAGTTAACGTACTCCGATTATTACGCGATTGTCCACCGTGCTTCCTACGACAATCTAGAAAAAGCGAGGGTGGAATAAACACTCACTTTCCATCCTCGATCTAGATATTCTCACTAACCGACTTCACGTTGCCAAGGATACAGCCGTCGTGGTTAGTAAATTATCGTTACTCCACACAACTTGCACACACTGTGTCGCCGTGCCGGGGAAACTTACGCAACAGTAGATTAAAATATTTTATTTTTTTATTTAAACAACGTAGAACAGACAAATTTAAAAACTGTATTGCACAACATTACATTATCTTATAACAGTACGGGGTTTGTTCTCATTTGTATTCAAATGTATTTAAATTCTCAATAAATAAACATGATTCATCATTGAAAATAATGATTTCTGTCCATGTACATTTTACGAAACCGCATTATTGCAACAGCCAGCCGAGTGCACACGGACTCTCGCGATTTTTCGATACACACATATTGATTTAGTCGCTCACCGTCACGCACTCGGTTTGAATTTCAAAAATAATCGCGAGAGGCTCTCAAAGAACAATTGTACAGTGACCGCACCGGAACAGCTTTAATGCGTTTTGATTTATACTATTAATTGAACGCGACATTTTAAATCACCGTAGTACGGTGAAAAATCTGTTTTGAGTGATACTGTTTCCAATACGACATCTATTCCCTTTGACACCGGTGTACATTAAACAATACGTTCACGTGCCATGTGCAGTAAGGGTGGTTCGATCGTACAGCGAATAACTGAGTACACTGAGCAAACAGACGGTTAACGAATATTTACTTAGCGTCGCCGTAGAAAAAGTTGGTTTTTTTCTTTTTTTAATTGTAAAATATACTTCGTTCAATTAAGTTCGAAACGTTCGCCGAGCTAAATACGGTCTCCTTCGTTTGTCATCGCACACGCAATGCGGTGGTGTACACACCGACGACCCGTCAAGGACTTTACGTCTGCCGCGATGGCCTTAACAAAGAAATGTCAAAGTAATTTTAGATTTCATCTCGTTTCCAACGTATTTCCACTGCTCGGCGGTCGCATTCTCTCTCCGGACGTTCTTTCTCATTCGTATACAGTTTGTTTATTCGTTGGACGGGTAAAAATGCGATCCTTCGACTCAATACTAGTAAGTGAATCGGGTCCACATACGATGCAGTGGCGTTTTTAGGATTTCTCCGAGAGGAGGGGGATATGAATAATTTTTTCCCTTCCTATTCCTTTGAAATACAATGTGTAGTAAATATCATCAATTTTTAACTATTACTACAACTTATTTATAACAATATAAATACATATTTAAAATGTTCAATAATAAAGTAAAATTAAAACTATAAGTCGATGAATTACGTGAATTAATAATATAAAAATAAATAAACTATGTATTTATATTGCAATTTATACTT